AAAAAAAAAAAAAAATTCCCGAGACACGGGTCCACTTTTTTCATGCCTAGAACACGTAAAAAAAGTTTCAAGCGATTTAAAAAATAGTCGTCTGAAAAGTGTTCGATTTATAATGGAATGTCTCATATGTGGTAATTGAATTATAAATTAAATTTGAATATTTTTCTAGTGTATTCCAAAGATTATAAAGGAGTACAATCCTTAAAAACGACTTAATAATGTATTTCAAACAAATTATGGAAGAGAAGACGCACAAAATTGTATAAAAGATAAACATTTGTATATTATATGCTTTATTTTTAATGCACAGAATATAAATAGCTAAAAATTATAATGACAATAGTCTAAAAAAATTTCCCAAGTAAATAACAAATTGTTACTCAGAACAATCATCGCCTATTTAGTAATATGGTGTGCATTTCTCACTTGAAATAAATTTACAGCCTAACTGATAAAAACATAATCTGTTAAATAATTAAAATAATAAGAACTCAATGCATATATACAGGGTAATCCGAAATTCGCGGATATGGAGTACAGGACATGATACTTTATGCTAAAATAAACAACTTTTTCCTTTAGCAAAATTGCGTCCGACAAATAGTTTTTGCATGAGATCTTTTTGAAATTAACGAATAAGCACTCGGATCCATGCAGCGCTCAGGGCCGGCGCCTCACTTGCGTGTATGTACCTAGTCCGTGACTAGTATTCATAAATTATGTCTTTTAAGACGCTCATACGGCTCTGTTATGATTAGTTTACGACATCTTAAGACTGTACTTAAGATATCTTATCTTAAATAATTAAGCAAAAGCTATGAACAATATCGGCATTTGACCATTTTTCATATTGTGTTGCATAAATGATGAAAAGTTAATGAAATAAATACTGCCTTTATTTCTTACGTAATACATGAATAAAAAATTGTCTGCTTGCATAATAATAATGTGAAAATAAAGACAAATGTAAATAATAATATGCTTCGCGAGCGTTCTTTTTATTTCAAATATTGTATAGTTACGTGATAGTTAAATAGTATCATTAAACTTAAAGAATAAACTTTTTATTGATCAAACGAGTACATTTGTGATTAAAAGTAAAGTAAAATCGTCCAGCTAAAGCTACAATAATAAAGCAGACAACAATTCGTAAGTACTTATGATGTAAGAAGATGTTCTCAGGTTTTAATAATACACTCAGCAGCAAAATTAAATTTATTTTTAAATTAATTAGTTAATTAATTAATTAAAAAATAAATTAATTAATAAATAATAATAAAGAATAATAATTAATTATTAAAAATAGAAGTAAAAGTAATAATTAATTTATTAATAATAATAAATTAAATGTACTAATTAAATGTACTCGTTTGATCAATAAATTTGTTTATTCTTTAAGTTTAAATGATACTATTTAACTATCACGTAACTATACAATATTTGAAATAAAAAGAACGCTCGCGAAGCATATTATTTACATTTGTCTTTATTTTCACATTATTATTATGCAAGCAGACAATTTTTTATTCGTGTATTACGTAAGAAATAAAGGCAGTATTTATTTCATTAACTTTTCATCATTTATGCAACACAATATGAAAAATGGTTAAATACCGATATTGTTCATAGCTTTTGCTTATTATTTAAGATAAGATATCTTAAGTACAGTCTTAAGATGTCGTAAACTAATCATAACAGAGCCGTATGAGCGTCTTAAAAGACATAATTTATGAATACTAGTCACGGACTAGGTACGTATACGCAAGTGAGGCGTGCGAATATATGTATTTGTGACTTGTTTAAGTTATAGCTTAAATTGGAGACATTAATTAAAATTTGTTAAAATATAACAGACAATTCTTAGTAAAGTTTATTCATGATCTTCTGAATTTTTGCTAAGTCCATTTCAAAAATGCGGAAGTGTATTTCATCTAGACGTGCTGTACCAAGAGCGAAACGCTGATATCTGTCTGACAGACCCATTAACTTACTCCAATAACTTGAAGCTTTTACCGCACTTACAGATTGAAATTTTTCGTCATCTTGCGCGAGTACCATCTTAAAATTAACATTTTATTTTACAGCGATAAAACCTTATTATCATTATTAAAATAAATAATTGTTAATAGAATTTGAAATAATTCTTTATAAATTAATATATGTATAAAGAATAATTATAAATTTAGATATCTTACCGTATTATTACCAAATTCTTTATAAACATTCGTGCC